TTTTATAGAAATAATACTATTATATTTAAAGAAATAATAAATATTGAGTAATAATTGAAAGAAACGATAATAGTTAATTATGAAAGACAATGGTAAGAACGCATGTTGTAATATTTAATCTACTTAAACAAATATAGATACATCTTCTATCTATCTCATATTAATAAATATAGAAGAAAGTAAAAATAAAACAATTCATAAAAATGCATAAGATTATTAACTATTAATATAAAAAGAAAGAAAATCTTTAGCAGGAATGAATCTATGAATTTCAACGAACTCGCTTGTGTGTTTCAGTATCGATTTAATGTCAGTTTCATGTCATAAAGACGTCAAACACACCGTTTTCACCAGGACAACATCCTCGGCTTGAATTTACGATCGCCAGCAAGCAACAGGTTTCGCGGGAACAAATCTTATACATAGAAGTTAGTTTTCTTTTATTTTTATAATAAATGAAATTCTATTATCAGTCTTTTCTCGTATAATGCATTAATCTATATTAATTAATAAATTAACACTTTATGATTCTTGATTAAATTCTTAAATTTTTAATAATCTCAATAAAAAATAAAAATTAAAAATTATAAAAAGATTTTTTGATTTAAGCGAAATTTTTTTTAATCTAAAATTGCAATTTTATACAAATTTATTTTATTCTATATCATAAAATATTCGTGCAAAATTATAAAACATTAATATAAATCATTGATTAATTAAAATCTCTTTATAGGTAGCTATATTTAAATGAAACGCAATCTGAAGCTACTACCTGTTGCTTTTGATCGTAAATCTACCCTCGGGCTGTAATCCTGGTAGGTTAGTCTCAGAATGACGTCATTGACGATCTTCTGACGGACAACTGACACTCGTTGATGTTTCTCTTCAATCTTTTAATCGAATGAATTGCAATTTCTTCCAAAGAAAATATTCTTATTTTCTGAACGAACACAATGAATAGAAAGCAGTCCTTGATCGGCGGGAAAGCCATAAATTCATCTACTATCCCTCGTTACTACCCTAGTAACTGCGAGCTTTCGTGACATCACGCAACCTTTCGTGACGAGTACTTTGACATATCGATAGCTCCTATTTATAAAAATCACAGACAAGATGTTCAATATCTATGCTAAAATTATTTTTTAAAAAGAAAAAAGAGAAATATATAATAGGTATAAGAATCGATACGTTGATGCTTATATATGGCGAATAAGCCATAAATTCCTCAAACATTTGCTAGTATCCTGGTGTAAGCAAGTTATTTGTACCACTGTGACGAATTGATGACTGACACTTCCCTTTTTCAAATTCTTGGATTTCTTCTTGTTAATATTTAGAGAATATTTTTAATAATATGAAACATTATAAATGCTATAATTAAAGAAAGGAAATAATCGAATGATATTTATTTTGTTATAAATAATTTTAAAAATTATTTATCTATAACAGAAATTAAATATTGAAAAAATAAAATATGATTATTATGAAAATTTAAATTAGGATTTACAATACTGTAAATTCTATATATATAGATACATAATTGTATATATAGGTATATAAATTATAAAATATAATATTTAACATCTTTTGTTTCAAAATTTTTTATAAATTTACTAAATAAATTAAAAATAATAAAAATAAATTATTAAACATAATTCTTAAATTTAAATTTGTTTCAGAAGATGAAAATAAAAAAAGAAAGAATATCGCAAAAAGATCAATACGAAAAATGACATAATGCGATGTTTGATTTGACTATCCAGACTCTCATATGCGATCCTGATACATTGGCGTCCTTACGACGTAACATGATGAACAGATGACGCTAAATCAATATACATCGTCGGCAAGTGATTATTAAAAATTGTTTAATGGATTTTTCAGCTCGGTTTTATTTTATATTTATATTTATTTTATATTATAATTATATTATTTATAATTTATATTATCAATTTCCAATCACAGAAAGATAACTTTTAATATTGTTTTAATATATTTTATAATCTTAATTTCACAATCATTTAACATAATATAATTAAATAATTGTTGTATTGTATAAAGCAATAACTGATTTGATTTAAAAAATTTTATTTTAAGATATTCAAAGTTTTATACTCAAATAAATCTTCAAAATTATTAAAAAAATTTTAATCTTCAAATAATATGTAATTTTTCTCTCGTTTAAATAATATTTCTATCTTTTATGCAAACTATACAAGGGTCGTGTCCAGCATGCCACACGAGCTTCCAGGAACAGGCTAACATCCACAATTGAAAGAATCGAGAATCTTAAAATACCAATTTCGATTGCAGGTCATCAAAGGTCAGCAATACTAGGAATGAATTAGAAGGATGAAAATGTGGGTGGAAGATAAAGGCAATGAACTAAAGCAGTTGTCTAAGTTCAATTTTAAACGAGTCAATAACATCAAAAGCTTCAAATACCCGGCTTACATCATCGTGTAGAGCTATTTCTTGCTGTGGGTGGAACTTATACTACATAATATTAAGGGATAGTTTGTGACATAATACAAAATCTAGCTATATGATGGAATTTAATTATTTTTATACTAATATGATAATTATTTATTTTAGGAATCAAATTTATTGAATAAAAGTTTTAAAAATAAGAATGTAATCTTTTTAATTTTAAAATATTACAATCTGATATCGTACAAACATAAAAAATATTAAATATTCAATTTATCTTAATTCAATAATGTTCTTAAACAATTAATCGTTATACGAGTAAAGATATATAGTCATATGTTCAACACGGCAATTGCATCGTTGCCTCACGTATTTCTTAAACCAGGGGTACACGTTCGACGTAGGGGTTGTTATCCAGTTTCCCGTTCAATAGGGTGACTCGAATGACGTAACAAAGCGCGCGTTTGATTAGGAGAACATCGATAAATGGAGGATGAAATTACCCTTAACAGCTCCTGTCACCAACCACCTTTCGCTCTCTATTCATATTCCAATATTAGCTTGTCGCGGTCAATAATTATTATTTAATATCTAAATTTAAGAATTATATATAAAATTAAGGTTACTATTTTCCTTATAATTTTTTTTTTTATTAATCTTTTGTTTCATTTTACATTGTTCTTAAAAATTATTTTTTATCATAAATTTTTGT